AAACCAATCACGATTTGGTCGCCCACATTTTCCCGCGCTTTAGGTATTTTGGCTTTGGTTTTATGACACTCAACCTGTTTCACAGTATTAGTCAGCACCATTCTTGCACTTAGCGAAAAAAACAAAAAAAAAACTCCGTTTAGTTTAAAACTAAGACATAATTATGACCATGGTTTGCAAGGTGTGTTTCCTGTTTAACTGTTTCTTCAGTTGGTGTTGGTTTTTAGTTGTTAGGTAGTTCGTTAAGTTCGGAGAAATTAAATATTTATCAGGATACATCACGAGCTTACCCTAACTGTGCTACATCGGCAGCGTAGGCGATTTCTTTCAAGTTGTATTCCAGCACACTCAAGAAGAGGTCGGAAAGAACCATGCTGTAAAGCAATAAATGAGACTTGAAACAACAGTTCTTCTATTTATTAGTTTTAACGCGGCTTAATGTTTCTCCTGTTTAATTGGAAAAAAAAGGCATTGAGGAAAGGGGTTTTCCAGAGAGACCCTGAAAATCGACGCTCCCTTTAATACGTCGCGTAAATGAAACCAGTGAAACTACCTTCCTGATCATTCGCCCTGACGAAGGGCTAACGCTCGAAACGTCAGCTTTTATAATCGTAACGGTGGCCAATTTACCATTTCAACTTTGTTGATATATTCAAATTATTTCGTGACCCCCACCGACGCAGCGCCAAACAGTTTCTTTAGAAACTATCAGCCTACCTTCCTGATCGTTTTGAAAACAACATCTGGAATAAGTATGCAACAAAGTAAACGAACATGCAGTCAATAACATCGCGTTTAGGTTTGGAAGGACGGATATGGCCGAGAAAACAGCCTATAGAGATGTGGTGTTGAACAGTGTTCAGTTGTGTGTGCTAGTACGGTTATAATTCAAGTCTATCTTCAGTCAATCTTGAGAAACTCTTAGATTGTTTATCTTGAGAAGGCAAGGTGATATATTTATAAACAGCGTTGACTAAATCCTGAATGGCCATAAAGACTGAAACTTCCTTCGTTGTGAATGGCTTGCAAGAAGGGAAAGGTAAAGAGCAAACGTTGGCTTCATTCAAATGACAGAATGTGTGTCAGTTAACTTTTTAATCGATAGATAAACTAACTTCTCATATCTCACCTCTCAGGGCTGGCGTTTACTAGCGGCGACATGAGATGAAAATAAAACCTGGCTGGAAACAAAAAATGAAGGAATGAATAGTTCATCACGCGTTTCACTGCAATTTCGTCGCCAATTTTTTCTTCTTGCTATGGAGGCCAGAACAGTCGCAGACTGGAGCGCTGACGCAATTAAAACTGGTAGGAAAAGAAATAGGCGCATATCCATAATAAAGTTTAAAGTAAACAGCATGTATCTACTCACCTCGAGGTGTTTTGAATTTCGTATCCTTCGAGTGCCAGACCTTCCCGAGAGGGCAATCACGAACCAACTCAGGAAACTACAGGGAATATGGAAGTCGGGGCGTCAAATAAAAATGATACATTCTGAATCGCTATAATTATAATTATAATTGCTATAGACTTTAGAACCATCCTCTGTCGAGAAAAGTTTAACCTTTAACAGCATTTTGGTAGGATGACGGGGAATACAATGTTTGCTTGTTGAGTTTGTAATTCATTAGGCCAGTTCATTACCTCGCTTGGAGTTCTATCAGGATCTTTGATTTCAAAATCAGTCGCTGTTGGAATACAAAGAAAAAAAGCCTAGAGTGTTCGTTAATTAACATTGTCAATAGTGATCAAGAGCCAATTTCTCTTTGCTAAATTATACTCAAGTGCTGGATTCGTAACACTGATGGTGAAAGGAAAATATTGATTGGCATACAGCGAATTCATTCCTTTGGCGGCCACAAAGAAGCATCTTAAAGGGAACCTTCAAGATGGGTAACCCTACCGACACTTGATGATGTACCTTGTTTACCCTACCGACTACGACAGAGAAATCCCAGGGTAACATATTGCAGACTCTCCCAGTTTGAAAGCAGTCATATACTTTCTTACTGAAGAAAACCTTTTCAATGGTAAAC